TTCCTTTAGAACCCTTGCATACAGTTTTATCAGGGCCTGGGATTTGTTAGGTTTCAATTTATCTATTTGCCTAAGGACCATGTCACTTGTGACCCTAATAGTGCACAGTTTATTATCGTCCTGTTCTACATAATTTTTATCATTACTGGTATATCGCTGTATCCTCCTGTGTAAAAACTGAGAGGAAGTATGTGTTAAAAATTCTACACATTTCCCTTATCACTGTCAGTGAGCTGACCCAAAGGGAACTTTTGAGTGGGCCTATCTTGTCCCTGATCTTACTTCTGTATACCTGAAAGAAACCTTTTGGGTTAGTCTTCGATTCTCTTGCAACTTTAACCTCAAATCTCTTTTTGCTTTTTTAATTCCCTTTTTATTTCTCTCTTTAACTGAATATATCGATTTTTTTAATTGCCCCCTCTCCTCTTTTGATTTGCCCATATATGCCTCTCTTTTGACCAAACAGATATTTTAATCTATTGTTCATCCATTTAGGATCATTTTTGTTTGATCTGATTTTCCCTATTTGGAACATAATTTGACTGAGCAGCTAGAACTATGCCCTGGAAAACATCATTCGGCAACCACACCACCTACCTGACCCTTAGTCAGGTCATTCCAGTTCAGCCCACCTAAGTAATTTTTCAGTCCTATGAAATCAGCCAAGCGAAAGTCAGGGACGGAGACTTGATTGCCCATTATTAGGGAATTCCATGATATATTAAAACTGAGTGATTTGTGATCACTCTCCCCAAGCTCATCATTAACCTCAAGATTATTAATTATGTTTCCCTACTGGCAAGAACCAAGTCAAGGAGGTTATTTCCCCTAGTTGGCTCTGTCACAAACTGTTTTAAAAAACAATCCTGGATCGTAATCAAGAAAGTCACCCGACTCTAAATTTCCTGTCAAATTGCTCCAGTCAATCTGTCTATAGTTGAAATCTCCCATTAGCACAACATTTTCGTATGTAAAATGCCTTACGAATTTCGTCCCATAGAAGTTTACTGCACTCCCTATCAAGATTTGGGGCCCTGTAAATCAAACCCAAAAAAAGTTTTTCTCGGCCCTCGAGAAGCTGTAACCAAACAGATTCAGTGGCTGACGCTTCTAATTTAATATCTTGTCTTACACAACAATTTAAATTGTCTCTGACATACATCGCTACTTTCCCCCACCTTTTCCTGTTGACCCCTGTCAGTGTGGAATAATTTATAGCCTTGTATGTGACATTCAGAGGGCATCTCTCTATCTTTCAGATTGAGCCAGGTCTCTGTTATAGCAATAATATCTATGTTTCCTGCACTTGCAATTAATCTAGCTCATCTATCTTATTTCTAACACTCCTGCTATTATATAGTAAACCTTAAGGGAGCTAGTCCCTTGCTGCCCTCTGCTGCCCCCCTTTGTTAGCTGACCTGTTCTATGTCTTTATTTATAACTTCATGCTGAATGCCTTTTATACATTTACTGTTTCCAACCCAAGTGTTGCAACCTGCTTGTTTCCCACACACACCCATACCTCATCTTCCATCAGTTTTAAAATCATAGGCATTTCACCAATGGCCTTCTCAATCGAGTCTGCAAGTGCAACCACCCCTGCCCCAGAGAGATGTACCCCATCCCTTGCATACATATCATGTTTGCCATAAAAGTTGTTCCAGTTGTCAATGATGGGATTGCAAGTTCCTTGCAGTATCTGTCTAGCCAGCAATTTACACCAATTGCCCTAGACAACCATTCATTTCCTACTCCCCTTCTAGGCAAGATGCTACATATGATTGGGATCCCTCCCTTAGACTTAATGAAATCTTAGCTGACCTGTACTTATCTAGCAGCTCTTCTCTCCTACCCTTCCCAATATCATTTCCACCAGCCCCTGAGACGATATGGGCTTGTTCCCTTTACCTGACATGATTTTAAATCCAGCCTGTTGACAATGTCCCCAACACCAGCTCCAGGAAGCACACTCTATCTCTCATCTTCTTATTCCTATTACAAAAAGCACGGTCAATATATCTTACCTGAGAGTCACCAACCACAAGAATGCGCTTACCTTCATTAGCAGGGGCAGTAGTACCCTTACCTTCACTGGCCACTGAAGTACATTCACCTGGAGAACAGAGAAGCGTTTCCTACCTTCAGATCTTCACTTTTAATTTTCCCTTTACCTGATGCGCCTCCCATTAACTGTGAACAACTCGCCACTTGCAGCAGGTGCTGGGCTGCACCTCACTGCTGGTAGCTGTTGCTACCTCCCCAACTACAGCCTCCTCACAGCGAGAGACAGACTGCACCTCACTGCTAAAGTCTCATTCCCCACAACTCCAGCCACCTCACACTCTCTCCCAGCCCCATTGAGGTGGACCTTCAGCCTCCTAATCTCCTCCTGGAGAAGCAAGACCTCCTCCTTAAAACTCTCCAACCTCATTTTTTTAAAAAACACTGCAGAACAAGCATGCTTTGTAACCGTCCACGCTAATCCCCAAAGCAGCTCAGGGTCTGTGACCTCACGTGACGACTGACCACTGACGACAGGATGGATAATGAGAACCTTTAAAACTAGGGAGGCCAAGCCCATGATGACACTCTTCAGGTCACTTGTTCTATCTAGGCTGGAATATTGCTGCACTCTAACAGCACCTTTCAAGGCAGGTGAAATTGCCGACCTAGAAAATGTACAGAGAACTTTCACGGCGCGCATAACGGAGATAAAACACCTCAATTACTGGGAGCGCTTGAGGTTTCTAAACCTGTATTCCCTGGAATGCAGGAGGGAGAGATACATGATTATATACACCTGAAAAATCCTAGAGGGACTAGTACCGAATTTGCACACGAAAATCACTCACTACGAAAGCAAAAGACTTGGCAGACGATGCACCATCCCCCCAATGAAAAGCAGGGTGTCACTAGCACGTTAAGAGACCATACAAAAGTGTCAGGGGCCCGAGACTGTTCAACTGCCTCCCAGCACACACATAAGGGGGATTACCAACAGACCCCTGGCAGTCTTCAAGCTGGCACTGGACAAGCACCTAAAGTCAGTTCCTGATCAGCCGGGCTGTGGCTCGTACGTTGGTTTGCGTGCAGCCAGCAGCAACAGCCTGGTTGATCAGGGGCTGATCCACCAGGAGGCCTGGTCACAGGCCGGGCCGCGGGGGCGTTGACCCCCGAAACTCTCTCCAGGTAAACTCCAGTAAAGTCTGAGGCGGCTACGGTGAAAAACTCTGTTCCACAAGGCACAGTACTCGCTCCCATCTTGTTTCTCATCCTCATATCAGACCTAGACAGGGATATAAGCCACAGTGCCGTGTCTTCCTTTGCAGATGACACCCGAATCTTCATGACAGCGTCTTCCATTGCAGACACTGCAAGGCTCCAGGCGGACATCAGCCAAATCTTTCACTGGGCTGCAGAAAACAATATGAAGTTCAGCGATGAGAAATTTCAATTACTCCGATATGGTAAACATGAGGAAATTGAAACTTCATCATAGTATAAAGCAAATTCCAGCCACACAATAGAGCAAAAAACTAACGTCAAAGACCTGGGAGTGGTCATGTCGGAGGATCTCACCTTCAAGGACCATAACATTGTATCAATCGCATCTGCTAGAAAAATGACAGGATGGATAATGAGAACCTTCAAAACTAGGGATGCGAAGCCCATGATGACACTCTTCAGGCTGTTTGTTCTATTTAGGCTGGAATATTGCTGCACACTAACAGCACCTTTCAAGGCAGGTGAAATTACTGACCTAGAAAATGTACAGAGAACCTTCACGGCACATATAACTACGATAAAACACCTCAATTACTGGGAGCGCTTGAAGTTCCTGAACCTGTACTCCCTGGAACACAGGCGGGAGAGAAACATGATTATATACACCTGGAAAATCCTAGAGGGACTAGTGGCCTGGTGGCTAAAGCTCACGCTTCACACACGGAGGGCCCGGGTTCGATTCCCGGCGGGTGGAAAAATTTCGACACGTTTCCTTACATCTGTTGTCCTGTTCACCTAGCAGCAAATAGGTACCTGGGTGTTAGTCGACTTGTGTGGGTCGCATCCTGGGAGACAAGATTAAGGACCCCAATGGAAATAAGCTGGACAGTCCTCGATGACGCACTGACTTTCTTGGGTTATCCTGGGTGGCTAACCCTCCGGGGTTAAAAATCCGAACGAAATCTTATCTTGCCAAACTTGCACACGAAAATCACTCTCTACGAAAGCAAAAGACTCGACAGACGATGTAACATCCCCCAATGAAAAGCAGGGGTGTCACTAGCATGTTAAGAGACAACACAATAAATGTCAGGGGCCCAAGACTGTTCAACTGTCTCCTAGCATACATAAGGGGGATTACCAATAGACCCCTGGCTGTCTTCAAGCAAGCACTGGACAAGCACCTAAAGTCGGTACCTGACCAGCCGGGCTGTGGCTCGTACGTTGGATTGCGTGCAGCCAGCAGTAACAGCCTGGTTGACCAGACCCTGAGCCACCATGAGGCCTGGTCACAGACTGGGCCGCGGGGGCGTTGACCCCCGGAACTCTCTGCAGGTAAACTCCAGATAATTGAAGATACCCAAGTGTTGCACATGTGTCTAATTTATCAACTTGTCGGTTCTCTGAACCATTTATCTACATAGTAGTATGTCATTGATGTCAACTAGGTCTGCATACCTTGTACATGTACTTGTAGAAATAAAGAAATTATTAACATGGATTAGTAGACGGGCATTGCTGTACCATTGTATTACATTCTTAATACAGCTCATGGAGTAGTGGCCCTTAACGACTAACATTAACAACGTTTCATCTGGAACTTCAGCAACAGTGTTAGTGAAGTGTCTTTGTGCTTACTTAGGCAGTAAGATGCTGGTGTTTAGACAGAGGCAACCGTTTTCTCTTTCCTGAGGAAATTGTATTTCCTTTGTAATTTCCGCTCTTGTTGGAGTAACGTTTTTTTCCCTCGGGCTCCTGAGAGGCAGGGCTCAATAGAAGTACGCTTTGGTGGCCCTTAACCATAACAACAACAATAATAACTAGTCATTTGATAAGCTGGGGTTTACCCCTCACCTTATCTGTGTCAGGTGTTTTTGTACGTTTCCATCCTGCTTTAATATCCTGCGCAGGCAAGCTTTTCCTGACATTAGGTTCGTAGATTGTAATATTTTAATGATAAAGCATGTTACATGCTGAAGCTGCGATTATGATATAATGTCCAAATAAAATTACTATATACAATCCTTAAGATTAATTCGGATTTTTAACCCAGAGGGCTATCCTCTCAGGTATCCCAGGAACGTCAGTGCGCCATCGAGGATTGTCTGTCTTATTTCCTGTAGCTCAATTGCTAGCACACTCAGCTCACACTGAGGTCTTGTGGTCGATGTCCAGTACGGCTGGAAAACATTAGGACGTGTTTCCATAAGACACTTGTTGTCCATGTTCACCCGTCAATAAAAATGGGTACCTGGGTGTTAGTCAACTGTGGGACGCATCCTGGGACAAAATTGACCTAATTTGCCCGGAATGCTCTGCATAACAAACGGCTTTCTGTATAGTAGTATGTCATTGATGTCAGCTAGGCCTGTATACCTTGTACATGTACTTGTAGAAATAAAGATTATTATTATTATTATTATTATTATTATTATTATTATTATTATTATTATTATTATTATTATGTAGTGGTTCTTCAATCTTGTCCCCCAGAATGTGACCCACACCAGTCGACCTACTTACTGATAAGTGACCAGAGACAGCAGGTGTAAGGAAATGCGCCTAACATTTCCACCATGCTGGAGATTGAACCATAGACACTCAGTGTCTATATAATAATTCTGGCCACATAATCTGGGTACTACAAAATTGTGTTCACTTCCCCTAGTTCCATACTGGCTTGGGTTCCTAACCTTGATAAAATTTTCAGCAAGATATTCTAGACATTAACTTAGATAAGCTTAGATAATTTCACAACTTTTTTTTTAAAGTTTTAATCCTAATATAAGTTGCCCAAAATAATATGCATACTATGGACTTAAAAGTACAGTAGCTATATGAATAATTAATGTCTTTGAAAAAAATGTTTGAATTTTGAATTTTTGTTTTAAGTGTATACATACCGTTTCCTCTCTTATAGCAGTACAATACATGTACCCTTCTTAAAAAGCAACTCCTTACCCTAATGTGATTCATGACAGTAATATGCTATGTCAAACACATCTTTGAAACCTGCCTGTTGAGTATTTATACAGTACTTATTCTCAGGTACCTCTTGTCTCAGATTCCTTTTTATTTCATATCCCTTTTTATTTCATTAAACCTGCAAGCATAATACATTATTCAATCTTTTAGTGCATTGAATTATATTAACCTTTCGTCTGAATAACTGATATTCTTCTCACCAGATATATTATATATTATTATGTAAGTGTTCTTCACAGGTGTAAATAATTTTGCTGTCTGAAAGCATGGCTAGTCGTGGGACAACTGAAACACAAAAGTTACGGCAGCAGATGGAAGATCAACTGGACCGATTAGTGGCACAGTTGTCTGATCTTGAAGAATGCAAGTAAGATGGGCAAAACTGGGTTTTCATAAAACTGTAAGTCATAAAGCGATTTGAGATATTTTAATTTTTGTTACTCATTATTTTGTCAATAAGTAATTAAGTTTTAAATACTATAACATCTTTGTTCTTAAAAATGAGAAATTCTTAATAAAATATTACATGATAATTAGTATGAACTGCCTTTAGTATTTTCCATCAAGGTTTGATATTATTTACTCATGGTAGCAGGGAATTTTTTTTTAACTACAGTATAAATCCACCATGATTCCTACTCATTTAATGAGTAAACAAGTTTTAAGCAAAAAGAATTGGCTAAAAACTGTCCTGAAGTGAAAGAGTGATGGTTTTTGGCACACTTGCAATATATATAACCAATTAGTGTAGAGACAATCGTCAGCCTTTGGCTTTCGTTTTTTTTTGTTTCCAGTTTTTATGCTTTTGGCTACTTGGGATCAAAACTGCATTTCATGAACTAGATGTCAATGACACTATGATAGCAGATTCTATAGAGTTACTACTATATTTATTTGCAGAGGAGAATTAGACCCAGAGGAGTATGAAGAGGTTCGCAAAGACACCATTGAACAGTTAAATGAATTTCAGTCGTCACTCTCACGTATGACTAGTGGTGACATGACACTAGTTGATTCCTTTAATGCAATGCAGTTGGTGAGACCCTGTATAACACTAAGTATTTTATGTTTATTGCAACATTTTCTTGTAGCTTGAAATATTAAGTCATTAGTTAATATATCACCCAGTAGGATTAGAAATTCTATGTTTACTTAATTCTTCTTTGAAAATTTTGTTTGTACTATTTTTATTCTTAAGTTAGCGAGTAAACATTAGCTACAGATAATTCATATACGTATTTAGCTTATCTTATTTATGAAGCTATGAGACATATATTGAGTTTTGTAACAATTTAAGTACAACATCTCAGTTCTAGTTTACATATTACCATCTTTGTAACTATCAAGATGATTGCCAAGTTTGGTTCTTCAGGCTATCCAGGCAGCAATATCTCAAGCTTTTAAAACACCAGAAGTCATCCAAATGTTTGCAAAGAAGCAACCAGATCAGCTGCGAGAGAAACTAACTCAGGTTGAGAGAGATCACAAGATTGGCAAGCTTGCCTTAGAAACTTACACACAGCAAAAGGTATGCTTTGTATTTCATGTACAGTAACTTACAATTAGATGCTCAGTCACAGAACCAATTAGACTCATAAGTCAAGGTACCACTACAGTATATTTTTTTCTTTTCAAAATTAAATACTGTGTAGATATGACATTTTATGAGGTTAGAGCAATAACTCAGCAACTACAAGATGCTTTTAAAAAGTTCCTGGACTGCCACAAAAAATATATATATACATGTATATATAGGCTCACCTCATCACCTAGTTGAAGTAGTCTCCCCTTGGGAGACTATACGTATCCCAGCGCCCTTGCCACTTTTTGAAACATTTCTGGAATGCTTTTTTCCTAATGGCATCTAGCATAGCCTGTGATTCTGCTTGAATCTCCTCCATGTCATTAAAATGCTGCCTCTTGAATGCCATTTTTATTTTTGGAAAGACAAAGTCACAGGAAATTATCTTTCTGGTCTTGAGTAAACAAGCGGGGCTTGACACAACCCATAAAACATTCCCACAGCACCTGCAGTCCTAGGTGCTCTGACGACGATCTTTGTGAGTAGCCTTCCTCACTCTTTCAACGGCCTTCTTCATTTTTTCAATGTTGGCATCTATTTTTAATGTTGATGGAGGACCAGACCATTTATCATCCTCAACTGACATTTGTCCTGCTTTGAATCAAGAATATAATTCAAAACACTGTCTGACCCATCGTTTCACTGCCAGATACTTGCTGAAGCATTTTGTGAGTTTCACTGGCTGCTGTACTGAACTTGAAACAGAATTTCACATACACTTTCTTTTAAAGGTTCCAGTCTGTTACACAAAAAATTGCATGGACAAAAAATGCCTGTCTAACCTCGATGGAATGGCCAACCGCACTGAAACGTGCCACGCTACTTAACAAAGGAGAGTACTGCCCAGCATAATCATTGCCACCACCACATTTCAACCAGGAAGTGCATGAAAATTTGAGTCTAGGAACTTTTTGATAGCACCTCGTATGTTTACTTAACATACCTGACATGCAAGATGGTTCTCCTGTTACACTGATTTTTTCTTTGTTTTAAGCAAGAATACCATTTTCTTTGCACTTCAGATTAAATTCCCTGTTATTATATTAGTAATAATATTTTTTATCATTGTTTATCTTGGAGCCTTCCTGTAACAAGCCACAAAAAGTACCTATTTGGGTCACTAATTAAGTTCTAAAAGCTTACATAAGACCAGAATTGCACAACACCTCATTACTTCATTTGTCTGGAGACAAAAAATATTTTATCTTAAAGGCCACAAGTGGTATGCACGTTAGAAGATGAATCACTATTCAGGAAATACCACAAGGTGAGTAGGTCTCCTCTCTTTATAGTTTAAGAATTACTAGTCATCTTCATTTGTAATTTTCATATCTTTATGTATCCTTGTTGATTAATGCAAACTGATTGCAGGTTGAGATTCTAAGTGCACTGCAGAAATTGGGCGAAACTTTGGCAGCAACTGAGCAAAGTTACTTAGATTCTCATGCCTCCTCTCTCATGAAAAACTTCGACCAGATTACTGATGAGACAGGTAAACTCAGGTTTATTACAACATAATGGGTATCTGTAAATTTTTAGTATCAAGCTATAAGTCTAATATGAACTAATGTAACACATTATGTTACATTGTTTACCTAATTATCTAGTATCTGTAAAGCTTTTTATCTAGACTCACTTAGCATATTGCATATATCAAATTTCTGTTACTTTACATTTTGCTTATTCTCTGTCAATAAATACACAGGAATTCTTCAATTTACTTTGTGCAGGCTCCAGTCAGAAGGTGTTGGAAATGGCTCGTCAGGGACTTCACTAGCAATGATAAGGTAGTAAAGTTGATGATGCTACCTGCACACATATATAAAAGGGTTAATGAGATGGCCTTCCTTCATATAATGTTGTAATGGAACTTCCAAATAATGAACTACATAATTAGGGAAAAGGAAGTGTCTAATTTAGTGAAAATCCATTTTATTCAAATTCCAATGAAGTGAACTATGCCCATCTCATTGAAGGAATATTGGTTGTGGACAAATATCCACTGTAGCGACCTAGCTTGCTGTATTGATGAACTATTGGACATACTAAGAATAAACCAGAGCAATACAACATAATACATTACAGTACAGTACCTGTACCTAGAAAGGAAAATTAAAAGTACAATACAGTAAGCTTTCTTACTTCATGGTGGATAGATGAGCTTATACAGTGGACCCCCGGTTAACGATATTTTTTAATTCCAGAAGTATGTTCAGGTGCCAGTACTGACCGAATTTGTTCCCATAAGGAATATTGTGAAGTAGATTAGTCCATTTCAGACCCCCAAACATACACGTACAAACGCACTTACATAATTGGTCGATTGGGAGTGATCGTTATGCGGGGGTCCACTGTATATGCATTTCCCTGTGGTCTAGTGGTGACTCAGAATTCATAATGAGTCAGAGGCACTGTAAAGCTCCAGCAGCAGGACTGCAGATGGTGAGGGAGATGTACATAGCCTACTAATAGATAGTTTGAGAAATGTAGAATGAGGAACAAATTTCAAAAATGAATTCACCTTCATGAGTTTGGCACATTGATGCTGTTCCCTTATGACAAATTTCCTACAAGTGTGGAAGTGCTGATAATAGGCCTGCACTTCTCTTTTCTAAGACATCAGCACATATGAGAACATGATCTCATTTCTTTGCCCCTGTTATCACTATTCTTTTCATTTATGGGGTACCAAAGGCTAGTTTGACATATATATTTTCTGGGCTGAAAAATTAATCTAGTAATAGTAAAATTAATACAATACTGCCTATCTGATCCAACTTATAGATCAGGGGATTATTGTAAGTCTGTAAGAGTTGTATCAGTCAAGATATTAAAGATAAAGTATTGATAGCAAGTGAGTAGGAAGAGAATTTGGAAAAAGATACCTGAGGCCAGTGTACAATGGGAAACATCAAGAAGTATAACCTGAAGTCTGTCATCTTCTGCCTTGCAGCATTATGGAAGGAACTGAAAAATTACTATATTAGCTAATGGTTGGAAGAAACTGTTAAGTAATGTTGATACTGAGCTGAACTTTTAGAGGTTCAAGGCTGCCACTGATTTTCATCAAACCCTTTAGAGGGCAAGAGAAATAAAAATTACTGAGGAAGAAGTGATTGAATTGTTGGAAGAAAATGGAGAGCCTGGTTATCATACGTCTAGTGATGCAGAAATTGCAGACAATATGAGATTAATTTTTAAGCCCAGAAAATATATATGTCAAGCTAACCTTTCTTACCTATGTCATAACTGACAGATAACTCTTTCATGTAATCTCTTAAAGACTGTGATGTACACTTACAGCTTTAGCACAGGATAATGGTGAGATGAGGTCTTTGTATGCCTTATGACCTAGTGTCTTTTCTTCATGCTGAAAGGTTTGTTTTGGCAATTGTCAAAACAGACCAATCCCATTATCATTATACAGTTGAGATAGGAGGATTGCTTCACTCGCCATCAGATCATTTAACAACAATTTGAATGGCTCAATTTTTGTCTATGGGTACATTGCCACCCTTGCCATGTTTTCTATTAATTAAGGCATAGTGTTTGCCTATGAAAGTGCCAAAGCCAACAGTCAGTGGCCACAAATTCTATGCCCATATCACTTGCAAGTATCTTAGCAGTAGAGTGAAGGCCAACAGAACAAATGCAAACCCCAGCAGCATGTATAGAGCTTACATCCCCAAGCTGTGGCCCATGGGCCGCATGTGGTGATTCTAGGAAATGGATGTGGCCCTCGCACAGAATTATGAATTCACTTTTATGTAGATTCCACACTGCAGCACTCACCACACATTGAGCCATCAGATGTGGCCCACTTGTGCAGGAAGGTTGAGGACCACTTCTGTAGAGCATACCATTTATACACTGCTGCTTCAGCCTTTGTATTGTGGGCCATTTTCATATGCTCCCTGGGAATAGCTAAAGAACTGTATTTGGTAGCCTCTTTGTAGTATCTGTTGTAAGTTTTTTCTTGCTTCTAGGGATGTCAGATACTTTTTTTTTGCTACAACATACTCCTCACACACCCAGGCCACTGAAATGTCTACTTCCAACTTCCTTATTTAATTCAAGTTTTTTGCTTTAACAGTCAAGGTCACACACTTCTTGGTACATTATTATTATAATCATAACTAAGTACTAAATCACCTTGGTACAGTCACTTGCTTTAGAGGCCATTGTTAATAATACTGTACAGGGTACTTTAGTAATGAAAAAACTATGTAAATCCAGTAAAAATTGCAGACCAAATGATGATGGTATGCGAGTGCGCACACAGACTAACGAGCGCCGAGTCACTAGACCTGCTGCCATGATTATTATAATCAAAAAGAAGCGCTAAGCCACAAGACCTGCTGCCATGAAACAATGAGAATGGACACATTGAAGACAATGCCTGGGCTGGACAAACTTGCAATGAAGTGGACTTGATCCACTTCATCAATGATATGAGTGGACCAGACAGCCATACAATGCAGTAATTTGGTCCACTACATTGCTGCTTTTACTAGACACCCCATGCAGTTGAAGCGTTAGGCTTTCATCTGCCTGGATTTTTTGTCATTTTTATTTTAATGGAGGTCTATTATACTGAGGTTTTACTCTGCTTTTTTTTTTTTTTTTTTTTTCTACATTCAATATACTGTGCCTTCTGGTTGCAGCGCTGTATAGTCCTTGTGGCTTAGCGCTTCTTTTTGATTATAATAATAATAATGTGCCTTCTGGTGATATTTTACATACTCAAACACTGCTTTGTCCTTCCTAATATGGTGACCCTTCACTTGTGTGGGGGATGCTTTCCTGGAAAACTGTGCAAGAAGTAAATTGCCACAAATTGAATACAGTATAAGCTACATGGGTAAAATAGTTATTTTGTAAATGCCTTTGTCACATTTTGTTTTCCACTCAAGAAACATGTACAGACACTTCTTTGTCATAATTATTTAAAATGTACGATGCTCTGAACATGCCCAGACCAATATTGTAGTTTTCACAAATGGGTGAAAGGGTAAGGTTCCCTGATGCAGAAGAGGGCTTATGATGCAAGGATTATTACAACTGAGGAAAGCGCTAAACCGACAAGGGTCATGCAGTGCTATAGGATGCAAGGAATTCGACATCTTCCCCTTCCTTGAATCGAACCTGATTGCCTCCTATTCCCCATGTGCTGTATGACCCCTGAAGGTTTAGCACTTCCTGTAAGTATAATAATAATCTTTTGCTACAGCTGTACTTCCCTCTACATTGTAATGTATCAGTAAATATATATTGAATTGCACAGTAAATTGAAGAATTGTGATACTGTTAATTTTGGGTATAAAAGGCAATTTTTTGTTATATCAAGACTAATATAAATAGGTTGGTTTGATTTAGAAGTACATACAGTAGTATGTTTTAAGTGTAAATTACACATTTATATATTAGCTGCAAAGCTCTCTAAAATGCTGGTGGGATTCTAGAATATTTTATTGTTTTTAAGGTATTTTATATAAGGTACTATAACAATACGAGCCTGTAAGTCTGTTGTGGTTCAAATTAATTTGGATATAAAGTTTCACACTTCTAGTCATGGGATATTTTATATATAATCATAAAGGTTTTACAATGTATTATTATTAGTCAAAATCAAGTGCTAAACCCACAAGGGTCATACAGCACTGTCACAGTGTATTATTATATTATTATAATCAGGGGAAGTGCTAAACCTGTAGGACTATACAGCAACTGTGGGGGGAAGGGGGGAAATGGAAGGTATTCAGGCTTAATTCAGGGAACTGTAGCACAGATCTAATTCCCTAGATCAAGAGCCACTCACCAGCACCAAAGAACCTTCCTTGAGGGGACAATGTATTAAAAATTTTTTGAAGTTCAGGATTCATTAAATGATTAAAATTGTATTAATGGTAATGTAATTATATGCTAAAAAAAATATATATTAATTAAAAAATTAATGTTTTAATCTCAAATTTATTGACATCTTTTAAATGTACAGTAATTTAAATAAACATATACTATTTCAGTAATGTCTTGCATTACTCTACACTTCTGTGCATCTTATATTGTTTTCTTTTCTCACAGATACTTTCTTTCCCCTTGAAGAGCTTTTAAATTTCTTTTTTATTACTCCTCTCTTCTTAGGTCACCACTGTTGCCATCCCACTGATCTCAGGCAACATCTTTATGTATGTACAGGAGGGCCCCACTTATACAGCGGGTTAGGTTCCAGGCTACCGCTGTAAAGCAGAAATCGCTGAAAAGCAAATCACACTTTCACTTATAAAGTGCATATAAATGCTTCATAACATGTTTACAGTATCATATATTAAATGAACAGTATAAATATACATCATTTAAAGTGCCCCAGATTATTACCATCAACATACCTTGTTCAGTGAGTTAAATCATTTCTAACAACTACCCTTAGATGCCATTGTAAATGAGATGAATGTTTATTAGTTCCTGTCCACTTATGGTTCATACATGTTCATTTCACATGTGCTTGTGAAGCTTTTACCACGATACAAACCCTTTATATTGTGTACAAGTTGTCTTCATATTGGTGCAGCAGAATAAACAGCAACACTCCCATTCTCATGCAACACACCACTTTTAGAGTGAATGACACTATGAGTGAGGGCATATGAAAGGAATAATTTTCTAGTTACCCCCAGTAATACTATTGTGTACACATTTTCTCTGGTGTTTGTCAGACTAGAGAAAACATAATTCTTTCAGTCACCCCCCTGGCAACCACATCTCATATTTGTCAGTTTGTTCTGTGGGTGTATTATGTTTACATGTTATGTAACATGTTTCTTATATGACTCATGAAATCGTAATGACACGATTGCAAACAAACCATACCACGGGTGGGGTTTGAACCCACGGTCAGTGTCTCAAAACTCCAGACCGTTGCGTTAGCCACTGGGCCAGCTAGCTTCAATAAGATTCGTCCAACTAGGTATATTTCTACATCATAGGAAGGTTAGCATAGGCACCACTGTGTCCACAAATGGAAGTTTTTACAGACGAATCTCCCGCTAGCATGACCGTGACGAACTCTAGCTCAAGTCCCCTCAAAGCCGTCAACATGACTCACAAAATCGTAATGACAGGATTGCAAACAAACCATACCACGGGTGGAGTTTGAACCCGCGGTCCGAGTCTCAAAACTCCAGACCATCGTGTTAGCCACTGGGCCAGCTAGCTTCAAGATTCGTCCAACTAGGTATACTTCTAACACGACAGTCTGGAGTTTTGAGACTCTCTGACCGTGGGTTCAAACCCCACCCAGGTATGGTTTTTTTTTACAAATTTGAAAAAAGAATTAGGGATTATGAAAATGTAAAAATTTAAAATTTTGGGGAATCAATACAAAAGGGATTGGACAGTTACTTTTTTTTGTTCTTGCTTTGTGGCATTAAAAAGGAAGTTGAAAAGGGTTTATGGATGAATTTGGGGAGGTATGTAAGAAAGTTGAAAGTGAACATAAATAAGAGCAAGGTGTTTGGGGTATCAAATGAATTAGGTAAAAATATTTGGTTACACATTGGGGGTTTGGAAGATGAAGGGTTTCAATATTTGGGGAGTTTTTTTGCGGGTGGGTTTAAAAGGGCGGTTGACCTTTGAACTGATGAAGAAAAAAGGGAGTTGCATTGAGGTCCCTGTGGAGCAAAAAATGTTATCCTGGAGGCAAAAAAGGGGGAATGGTTTGGTCATTCGAGAGGTTGAGCAAAATAGGATGATTGGGGGTTTAATTATATCTGCAGTGGGGGGGAGGGGGGGCGGGGGCCTCCCCTAGGAAAGGGGGAGGAAGGTAAAAGGGTTTGTTTAAAAAAAGGGGCCCCTGGATATGCGAAAGCTGTTGGTGTTTTAGATTGTGAATGGAGACAAAAGGTTTTTGGGGCCTGTTTAGCTGTTGGGTGTGAGCGGGGGGAAAATTTTTTTTGAAGGGATTCAGGGGAAAACCCGTTAGTGGACTCGAGTCCCGGAGTGGGGAATACAATGCCCGACTTTAAAAGAGGAGTTTGGGAAATTTTGGGTGTTTTGGGGGACATCAAACTGTCTTTTTGGGCACCCCGCAAAGACGTATTGTTGAAATGTGGTGAAAGTGTTTCTTTCTCTTTTGGGCACCTTCCCTTGGGGGAGACTGCCGCACGTTGAGGAAAAAAATGTAAAAATAACAAAGTTTAAAAACGCTTGAAATTTTTGAAAGTTTCCCGTTAAAAAGATGCAGACTCAAAAGGATATAAACAAACAGACTGGCACACAGACCCGAAATTGCAAATCAGGGAGGGAGATGTATAAAAGAATTTTGGTCAAATTTTAAATGTCTTATTAGAAAAACCCTCAAGCAAAGTGCTGTAAAGTGGGGCCCTCCCGTCCTAGTAATTTTTCCAAAATACTGATGCTTGGGTTTCATCTAAAATTTTGTGGGTAAGAGCTATTTGGTAGAACTCTGTTAAGCCCCTTCCCCAAAACCATTCTTTCTCCCTCCTACACCCTTCCTTTGATTCAGCATGGCTGTGTTTCCTTTCAGCGACAAAAGACAGTCTTTTTTGGTCCCTGGTCATTCTGGTGTCCAGGGAAATGAAAATTTCTTTCTGCACATTCCACAGGCAAAACCTGTCCATTCTTCTTTTATTTACCAGTTTGCTATTTTCCAGGAACAAAAAGGCAAAATACCCGATGGAACAATACCCCAAAAACCCACCAAAGGAGCTTTTCTCGTGAGCTCATCTTTCCCATATGCGGGTTTTTGTGTATTTTCCCCTATTGTCTGTTTTGGAGCATTAAAGACAATGGTAACTTGTTGTCCAGGTTAAAGACAACAAAAGGGTTTTTTTATTTAAAAAATACAGATGGAAAGTTGGTTGCTTCCCGTATCACTTCATGTTTGGGAAATGGTTTTTATTGACTGGAATTTGGCCAAATAAAGATGACCGTATCACATGGAAGATGTCAGCACCCCTCATGAACCCGTAGAATTTTACAAGTTGCAGGGGACAATTAATCAGGTTCTGTTTAATTGTCCCCTTTATCAAAAAATGGATTAATTTTTTGCTATGTTTTTTAAGTGCATGGAGATTTATTTTTTAAAACCCTTCTTTTTGCAACCCCCCCCCCCCCACTTACGTCTTTTCACAAACTCCCCTTTTTTGACACTCCAGATTTTTTGTGCTGAAGGATGCAAGTAATGAACCTGAAATGTCTGTACGTTTGTTGTCCCCTGTTACAGGTTTACACTTTACAAATTTTTAGCTTTTTTTTTTTTTTTACAGGTTAATCTAACCCGTGGTATGAATTTATTTTTACATATATATTTTAAAAAACAAGTTCAAGTTCGTACAAGTTTAAAGATTAAGTTTCGCTTTTATTTAATCCTTCTCAATGAAGAAAAAAATTTTTAGATGTGGGTGAATAGAGAACTTCTAAAATCGTAGGAAAATGGAATGAAACCTATTGGTTTGTCTTATTTTTCAGAAAATTATTGCTAAAATAGTTTTTTTTTTATATAAAAAAGCACTTTTAAAATAAAAACTTGGGCTTTTTAAAACTCCCAAAAAGTGATGCTAAATTTTCCAAAATTTTTGGCCTTAATTTTTAAACAAAAAGGGGAACGCCCTCGCCTTAATAATTTAAATTTTTTTTTTGAAATGAGACACCATGCCCCACTAAAAAAAAGTCAGTGTTTTAAAAATTTTAAAAATTTGCATGTCAAAACTTTGTTTAATAAAAATGAAATACAATGTTTCAGTATCAGTTAACATGGTAGTTTCTGAAAAAGGTGTAATAAAAAATTCGTGTAAAATGAATTAAAGAACATATGGAAAAACGGGTTTGTTCCCTTCCCCCCCCCCCCCATAAAAAAAAAAAAATTTTTTTTTTTAAAATATTGAAATTGTAAAAAAAAAAAAAAAAATTTAAATTTTAAAGGCAATATACTGTGTGTGTTAATACATACTTCAGCAACAAAAGTTATGTAAATATATTTTTTCTTAAATCTGTATTTTTTTTTTATGTCAACGATTTTAAAAAGGGGAGTGGATACAGTTTTAAATCGTTGCCAAGGGTTTTCATGTATCGATTTATTGTCTTTTTTCCCGGGATTCTGTAAAGCGTCTTGGTTCTTTTAAACTGCAGTAGTTTATGCAGCTGTGGTAAAAGGGACATCAGCTGTGTGGCGTGAAATGGAAGGATGGTGTGGGTAAAGGGTGTAGTCATGGGGAAATGTTGGGTGAAGGCTGCTGTGTGTGGGGGAAAGGGGGTGGAGGCGAGTGGGAACAGAAAATGGGGCGGGTAGATGTGGGGGCATCGAGTGAGGCATGGGTGGTAAGCGTTAGTAGTAGGGTGAAGGGGTGGGCTGTGTAGTCAGGGCAATGTGAGGTTGGGAGTTTTGGGGGGTGGTGTGTGGATTTATGTGGGTGGCAGGGAAAGAAGAGAGGTTTGAAGAGTGAAGGTGGTTTGGGTGCATGTCAAGGGGGGTAGTGGGGTAGGTGGGGTGGTGTTGGTTTAAAGGTTGGGTGAAAGTCATTTGGGTGAAGGGGTGTGAATGCAAAAATGGGAAGAAGTGTGGGAGTTAGTGGGTGAGAACAGGGGTGGTGGGTGAGGGGGAGTTTCAGTGGGGGAGGTTTTTGGACTTTCTGTGGGAGAAAAATGGTGTTGAGGAACATAAAGGTTGGGTGTAAAGGGGACATGGTTGTCAGTCACAGATACCATATCCCCATTTGTACCCAAACAGAGAAAAATTTAAATTTTTTTCAACCCCCCAAGATTTCATGCTTTTGCTTCTTCTTTGCACTTCTAGAATTATCTTACTTCCTTGGGTGCCCTGTTACTCTGGTGAGTAAAAATGTGAAAAGAAAAATGATGTTCATTAAATTTACCCCATATAAAGGGCACTGAGGGGGGTTGTGTAAATTATATAGGCCTTCCCAAAGGGTCAATGAAAAAGGAGTGGGAAAAAAATTTGGCCAATCCATTTTTCCCCACAGTACTCCCCGTATAAAAAGATTAATCAGTGTCAAAATTGCCACAAACTGTGTTAATGTGAAAGCATTAACGATTACACATTAAATGTGGTCTTCTTTCTGCACTGAAAAGTTGTTACATCATCTCTTTGGCCATAAGGTATAAAATACAATACAATTTTCATAGCAATAAAGTACAAATAAAAAAATTAAAGGCAATTTTCAAAAAGTCTAAAAAAGAGGTAATATGAACTTTAAAAGTTAATAAAATTTAGCAAATGTAAAAGAAAAATTCAGTCATCGTCATACAAAACTGTCACACTTGTTTTTTATTTAGTAAAATATGCTCATTGTGTTTAAAAACAAATAAAAGCCCATACTAAATTATTAGAATATATAAAATTGAAAAAATTCCTTTGTAAAAAACAAAATAAGTGGGTCAAGACTTTTGGTTGTTAAATTTTGTATGTTTACCAATCAAAATCTTAATCATTTATAATTGAAATCCCAAAATAAAAAAACAATTTTTGTGACAGGGTTTTTTTTTAACAATTAAATAAGGATCCCTGACTAAAGACCTTCAAAAAGGGTTTTTAAGATAATAAAAATAACATTTACAAAGACTAGGAAAAACGTGGCAAACTAGGGAACTTAGAAATTCTATCATTTTATAGTCATGTATTTGAAATGAAATTACATTAAAACTCAATGAAACTTGCATGATCATGTTGGGAGAGAGCACAGTACTTTTAGTAATCCTGCACCTCCTCCTAATTGCCAAGCTACAAATTCTCTGCATAATATTCACACCATACATTGCCTTCAGACATGGCAACACTGCCTCCAGCCTCCTCCTAGCTGCAATGTTTAAAATTCATGGTCCACACCCATGCAAGTGTTGGCACCAGTGGATAATGTTTTTGTTTCCACAGATGCTTCAGTGCACCACCTACCTTTTTACCTCATCTTTCACAGATCCATCCACCAAATACAATTTAAATGGGAAGATTTGTGTTATGAACACAGATCAGTATATTAAGTTTCAGGTTAATGTGAAGCAGCATTCCAGTCATCCAGAAACAAAGAAAAAAAAAAAAAAGAGGGCAAAACCCTAGCATGTTCTTACTGGAGAGATATACTCACTACAGAAGAAATACAAGGTAATCTCCACCCCACTGGAAATAACAGCAGGAGGATGACTTGAAAAATAAGTGAGGAACCATAAAGACAGTCAAGTCAGAAACAGGTTTATGAATAAGGGTGCTTATATTGATAATTAAGGACTGAAATAAAGTTAAAAGTAATGCAGATTGTGATACAAACCTAAAATTTGAAAAAATAATGAAAGTGAGCATATTGGCCTGCATCTAGAGCCCTCTTTAGCTATGTACAGTATATATACAGTTACAGATACACATTGAAATACTGCTCATCTTTCTCTCTCTTTTTAAATGTTGCATTTACATCACAAACAAGTGTGTTATTGCATTTTGTTTGCATAATGCAAACTATTCATGGTACAAACATGAATTATAAGGCTACAAATTACTGCAATACATCTTACACCATTACCTTGATGATGCGCCCATCAGGCAGCTGGTAATTCTCTACAAGAACAGTAGTCTCAGTTGAAAGCTTTTGTTCTTGTTCAATGTTGTAGCCTACATAGCACAGTTTCTCCTTCATCATGCGCACTGTCTCAAAGTCTGCTGAATGATTAAAGGCATACCCTCGCAGCAACAGGAGCTTGATCATATACACGGTAATGTCACGGCCAGCTATATCTAATCTCCTGTGAGCAATTAAGTGTTAATAAACTTTTTAATTATAATAGATATTATTTAGAAAGAAAAATTATATATAAACACCATTAAAATCATAATTAATTTTCTTAAATTTTAAATAATTACAATAATTTAGTTATGGTCACTGCTGGTTTATGGATGGACAAGAAAAATTGAAAACGTGTAACTGCAAATGTTTTTTCTTCGCTGGGTAACAATACCATATCATGTAATCATACTTAAACTTCAAAACTTATTTAAGTAATGTGCTTGAAAAGAACAGTTAAATTAAAGTATAGGCAAAAGAATGTTCCTGAATAAATGAAGTTTCACAATACATATTTAGTAAATATTTTCAATATTTTACTGTATTCTCATTTACATTATCATAATAATAATCACATGCATTGCACTCTTTATCATCATTCCTTTATTTGTTTTTCAACACTCTGGCCATGTCCCACCAAACCAGGGTGGCTCAAAAAGAAAAACGAAAGGTTTTTCTTCTTAAATTCAGTAATTTATACAGAAGGGGTTACTAACCCCTTGTTCCCGGCATTTTAGTCACCACCTACGACAAGCATGGCTTACGGAGGAAGAATTCTCTTCCACTTCCTTATGGAGATAAGAGGAAATAAAGAACAATAACTATTAAGAATATAGAAAACCTAGATGGATGTTTAAATATGCAGTGGACCCCCGAGTTTCGTGATTAATCTGTTCCAGAGCGCCCGCCGAAGGTCGAAATTCACAAAACTCGAAACCATTTTCCCCATAAGAAATAATGGAAATAAAATTAATCCGTTCCAAACACCCAAAAATATTAAAATAAAATATTTTTTTTCAAATTAAATAAAGATTTACATAATGAAAACAATCAGAAATCAAGTACATCCATTTAAAATAAATAATAACATTACACTTACCTTTACTGAAGACTTCTGGGTGGATGGAAGATGGGAGGTGATAGGAGGAAGGTGTACACTATTGTTTGGAAGGAGATTCTCCTTCCATTAGGACTTTAGGTAGCAAAGTCCTTATCTGGGGTTACTTCCCTTCTTCTTTTAATGCCACTGGGAACAACTTGAGTCATTGGACCCCTGGCACACAAAATATCTATCCAGAGAGGTCTTTTTCTGGCATTTCTTTAAGATTTCCCTGAAGTGGGAAACAACACTGTCATTGTACATGTTGCAGATACGGCTTGTTTCAGCTTGGTCAGGGTGATACTTTTCAACAAAACTTTGCAACTCATTCCACATATGTCCTTAATCACTGAAGAAGGCACCTCATCCACTCTCTCTTCCTCCTCCTCTGAAGCAAGTTCCTCGGCTGTGGTCTGATGCTGTTCCAGTTGAAGCTCTTGCAGTTCGTTAGTGGTTAGCTCTTCCCTATGGTCCTCCACCAACTCTTCCACATCCCCATCACTCACTTTATTTACCAAAGGGCTTGCACTAGCTTTCCTTGGGAACTTATTTAGCAGTTGCCAGCACAAAAAAACAATGGATTATTATGAAATGTATTGTATGAACCTGCGGGGTGACGGTCATGTGTTGGTAAACAATGGCACACTGAGCGTGAATGGCGTGGGAGACTGGCTTTGTGTGTGCGGTGATGGGCGGACGGGTACTGGACGGTCGCCGAAACACGAGTTTTTTCACGAAACTCGAGGAGAGAAAAAAAAAAAAAAAAAAAAACTCGCCGAAGGTAGAATTTCATGAAAGTCGAGGCTGCCGAAACTCAGGGGTCCACTGTATATGCATATACATGCATGTGTAGTGTGACCTAAGTGTAAGTAGAAGTAGCAAGACATACCTGTTACCTCACATGTTTATGAGACAGAAAAGACAAACAATCCTACCATCATGTAAAACAATTACAGGTGTCTGCTTCACACTCACTTGGCAGGAGGGTAGTACCTCACTAGTTGGTTACTATCTACCAACCTACTACCTAATGAACTATTTCCAAGGTCTTAATATCTTTTTATGCCTTTAGTTGTGCTTTTAACGAGGTTATCATTACCTCCTCCTTCCTTAAAAATAATCCTGCCATCTTCATTCAACATATGTATTTTTTTTTTTTTACATAAATGGATTTACAGGCTAAGAGTTGTCCTGCCTTAACTCGTCTCAAAGTCGGACCCTATCTAATGTACAGTATCATATCCCAGGATACCCCTCCACAACAGTCTAACAACTGCTAGGCCCCCATCAGTTGTGAACTGAGCATACAACAATTTAGCAACAAATCACATTTCTTAAAATCAATTCTTCATTCCACGTATATATTTTGTTATAGAGTAAACCTCTCTTATAAAGTTCCTCTATACAGTGCAATCTTTGTAAATGTGATTGACGAAGTACATACAAAACCAAATAACAGGTAGAAAGGTCTTTATAGTGCATGCTATTCAATGTTGCATTAACTTTCAAGGTTGCATTTGCAAAAAATTACATTATATAGAGGAGCTTTATAAAAGAACTTACTGGATCAAGAATATAAAAAGGACATTTTGAAGTAAGCAACAATACTTTTTAAAAAAACATAAGTGATTAAAAGGTAGGTAGTAAGCTGGTAGACAGGATCCACTCAGGGAGGTACTACCGTCCTGCCGAGTGTAAAATGGTAGCCTGTACGTAATTGTTTTACGTGATGGTAGGATTGCTGGTGTCTTTTTTTTCTGTCTCATAAACATGTCTTGCTACTTCTACTTACACTTAGGTCACACTACACATACATGTACTAGCATATATATACACACCTGGAGTTTACCTGGAGAGAGTTCTGGGGGTCAACGCCCCCGCGGCCCGGTCCGTGACCAGGCCTCCTGGTGGATCAGAGCCTGATCAACCAGGCTGTTGCTGCTGGCTACACGCAAACCAACGTACGAGCCACAGCCCGGCTGATGAGGAACTGACTTTAGGTGCTTGTCCAGTGCCAGCTTGAAGACTGCCAGGGGTCTGTTGGTAATCCCCCTTATGTGTGCTGGGAGGCAGTTGAACAGTCTCGGGCCCCTGACACTTATTGTATGGTCTCTTAACGTGCTAGTGACACCCCTGCTTTTCATTGGGGGGATGGTGCATCGTCTGCCAAGTCTTTTGCTTTCGTAGTGAGTGATTTTCGTGTGCAAGTTCGGTACTAGTCCCTCTAGGATTTTCCCTCTGGGTTTTCTTCTATTTTCTTACTAGCTCTTGTTCTTGTTTATTTCCTCTTATCTCCATGGAAAAGTGGAACAGAGTTCTTCCCCTGTAAGCCATGCATGTTGTAAGAGGCAACTAAAATGCTGGGAGCAACGGGCTAGTAACCCATTCTCCTGTATACATTACTAAATTTAAAAGGAGAAACTTTCGTTTTTCCTTTTGAACCACCCCACCTCAGTGGGATACAGCTGGTATGCTGAAAGAAAGAAGAAGATATATATGTATCTATTTATTTTACGAAATTCATCCGTTCCAGAGAGACTTAGCCCTAATCTGGCTTATTCCAAATTAATTTTCCCCAAAAGATATAATGGAAATCCAATTAATCCGTTTCAGACACCCAAAAGTATTAAAAAATGTTTTCTACATGAAACATACATTTACCTACACAGAAAACAATGATACACAAGAATAAAACAATAATAACATCACACTTACCTTTATTGAAGACATGGTGATGTACGGAAGACGGGAGGAGGGGAGAGGATGGACAAGTTTACAATTGTTTGGAAGGGGAATCCCACTCTATAAAGACTTCAGGTACCAAGTCCTTATCTTGGGTTACTTCCCTCCTTTGTTTTTTAATGCCACTAGGAAAGGCTTGAGGGTCACTGGATCCTTGTTGCTCAAAAAAGTTTTCCAGAGAGGTCTGTTTCTGGCGTGTTAGGAATTGTGTTGGGAGACAGAACAAGATAGTCCTTCAATATGACACTAATATCAGCTCTACAGCTTATTTATCTAGCACAATTCATCTAATATGACATAATAAACAATATTAATAACATAGAAACATGATATATACTCTAGAATGAATAAAATACATCATTAAGTACGTCAGGAGTATTGCTGTTGTTGTTGTTGTTGGGTGTATAAGGGCCACTGAGACACAAGCCGTACAGTGGTAGCGGAGGCGGCAGCAGCGGTAGAGACTAGAGACGGTGGTGTTGTCAATTGCCCTATACAACTCCAACAACACTGGAGGAGTTAGGTTCGGGCTGTCCTTTTTCTATTAATTAATCGCTTAACTTAGTTGCTACAATTAATGCTACACTTTATCGCTGGCTGGCGCTATTATAGATTCCTGCTGCTTTAGTATCATACATACTGCAGAATCACTGAAAAAAAGCACATTCTCCCCTCTCTCTCAGCCTTTTACCAAAGGGCTGACTGGCACTAGAAGCTTTCTTTGGGCCCACTGTGGCTTAATTAGCAGTTACAAGCACTAAAAGATTGGAATAATACAAAATGTATGGTATGAATGTGTGGGATCGTCCTCAGTGGCTGGTAAACAATGGCACACTGGGCAGCTCAGGCCCCAATACAAATGACTTATACCGAGTTCAGTGACAGTCACCGAGCCAATATTTTGATGTAAAAACATTACTTATTCCGATGACGTCTTAATCCGGGGGTCCACTGTAATCTACATATATGCTGCTATGTATGATAATTTATTTAACTGTATTTGTGTGTACCCGAAATTTGATGAAAAATTGACGAAATTATGCTCTCGCGAATTTTGATGTGTCAGCGATATTTACGCTGACACATCAATTATATTGCTGACACGCCAATTATATTGCTCCTGTCGACCAAATTCTTAGCTATTTCACTAGAATTACTTCTATTCTATTAATTGAACACATGAAATCGCCAAGTCAACTGTTTCAACTACAAAATAAAGTGATCGGAAATTGGTAATTTGGCCAATTTAATGCAAAGTTCAAAACATTCTAATTTCAAAATAGGGTCTAGAATAAACAATGCAGGCATTCCTGGAACTAAACTAACATTTCCTCTGTTCA